GTGTGTGTGTGTGTGTGTGTGTTGATGTGTGTTGATGTGTGTTGGCCTCCACACCTGCGTTCACCTCTCTGTTCACGTTAGCGTCGACATCCAGCTCAGTCATCAACATCAGGTTCCATCATCTCTGTGAAACAGCTGCTTGTAGCAGGACGTGACAGATTTGTGTCGTCTTGTACCATTAAAGTATTAAAGTCATGTTGTAGCTCACAGAGCTGTTAGCTGTTAATTGCTAACAGCTATAGCTACTCTGACATACTCCTAATAACTTTCAGAAAAACATATTCACAGATTTGATTGGGACAGACGTTTTGCGTTATTCTGGTTCTGACACAAATTAAGTGCACAACCGCCGTGACTCCGCCTTCTCTGATCTGCTCCACCCTCCTCTGTTGTATCCACCGCCGTGGTCGTCCTGCGGGCTGCCAGGCGGCCGTGGCTCAAAATAGGACTCAGGCCATTTCACCTGAAACTGCGGCGGCGGCGGCTCAGAGGAATTCAAAAGCGATTTCAGCCGTGTGCCTCCTCTAGCGTGGCGCGTTTGTGAGAGCGGAGTGAAGACGAGATCGAGGAGCTAAAATGGACTCTCCATTTGGCTGAAGGTGTCGAGAGGACGCAGCCTTGATAGTGATTGATTCCATCGTACATGCCTCCTCCCTCCTCCCTCTTTTCTTTTTTGAATGACTCCTCACCCTGTTTTCATGTGGATCATTATTCCCCTGCTTGTTTTTCACTCCGGCTGCTCCCTCACCTGTCCACCACGTCTGTCCGAAGGCTTCGTGTCCCCACCGATCTCCCTCTCTTAAATTGCTGCACACTCCGACACGCTCCCTCGACATTTCACCTCCCTGCTCCTGCTTCATCTTTGTGTCTCTTTCCCCTTTTCCTCTCCCTCATCTCTCCCTCCTCCTCCCCCATCCTTCCTTAAACTCAACATTCACCAAACATAAAACAAGAATCTACGCAGCCTCTATAAATATCAGCTTTTTAAGTTTGGTGTTACCTCTCCAACTGCATCCTCGTCTAACCGTCTATCCTCCTGTCACCTCCTCTCTCTCTTTTCCTTATGAATTCACATTTTTACCCGAGGGATGATAATGTAAGTGTTGGCTAATATGTTCCCCTATAAAGATGGACTTTTAATTCACCTGCTGTACATAAATCCTCTTTAAGCATCTTTTCTGTTCCTCTAGCATTTCATTTCCTCCTCTCTTCTTTATACGAGACAGATGCTAATGTGAATGTTGGCTAATATGCAGCTCTCTGGAAAGACTTAATTCACCTGAGGGTTATATACTACCTCCCTGCACCTCCTCTCCCTATCGCACCCATTTCTCATGAAGTAGGTCGTTATGTGAAGGATGGTAATGTGAGTATTGGCTAATGTGTTGCTCCATAAAGATGATTTTTATTCACTTGCTGGGGATATTCTGATGTGGCGGACATTCTGCCGAGCCAAGCAGCTCGGATGAATTTCAGAGAACGACTTCATCCTTTCTGCAGGAAACATTTTAGAATTAAACTACTCAGAGTTACTATGGTGTTAAATAACTCTCTGGATTGTAAAGTCAGGCCCCGCTCCTAGACGAAAACATTTCTGTGCAACTACACTGCAACATAACGTAATGCTTTTCTATGTAGTTTCATAATTCACCTTCTGATGCTACTCGGACACTTTAGTAGAAGATTATGGATTTCTTTTGGAGGGCGCTGGTTCCATCTGTCTTGAATTGCTGTGCTGATAGAATCTGCCATTGACCTGTGGAGCTGTTCATGGCACCTGGTATCACCCTTTTCCCAAAAGCCTTCAACTTTTCCTCTCCTGTCCTTTTTCTTTTTTGGGCCCATTCATCCGTTCTTGTTGCTCGCTGACAAAAAAGAAGTATGAGTTGAACATCTTGAACCAGAACAGCTATTTTTCATCTTTCATCCTGATGCTTTGTGGTGTAAAGGAGGCTTTCAGACCTGAGGGAGCTTTTTTCTCCACCGTGCTAAGAGCAATTTCACCATGATGATGCAAAGCGGCTAGTTGTGCTGCTAAAAGCTCTGAGTTTAGTATTTGGATTAAGTGTCGTCCTCACTTCTTGGCAGCATGGACACAAACTCACTTGTTCATTGTGCGAGTACCGTGTGAAGGAGGCAGTAGGGAAAATGATTCGCTTCCTGCTACGTCCTCTTTGTAAGACTTTCTAAATCGAGAGTTAGTTGGTTAGCGGCACGAATATGCTGTTAACTTTAACTCACGTCCTTTTGGAAAGTTGTTTTCTTTTACTGTTGATGAT